TCTGGTGCTGCGCCCCTATGCGTTGCATACGCTGCATACCCACTTTTTGCGCCTCTGACTGACTAGTGGCGTGGCGAGAGCATTACACCTTTTTGATGTGTACCGTTACTGTGTAAACAAAGATTGTAATTAGAACGTCTTCATGTAAATGTGTTAACAGAAACGAAACAAAAATTCCATTTTCATTGGATCATTGTCGCGTAAACAGGGCCTGAATTAGAATTAGAAGGGAAAACTCAGGTAAGGATTTCATGGCTTTGGAAACATGGTATGACTTAACTGCCAAGTCAGAAAACATAAGGAAAATAAAAAACAAACAGAAACATACCTTCAGCTCTTTTAAGAAATATTTTTTAAAACAATTTTTATCATTTGTCTTTTTTAATCATGTTTTAATTTTTATATTTTTTATGAAGCACTTTGTTTTTATTTGCTGAAGTTGCAATATAAACAAAATGTACAGACTTACTAAAGAATTACTGAGCATTTTGGGTGTTTTGCAGCATAAAACAGGAAAATTGATCTTTTTCCATGTTTGTGTTCAATTGTTTTCAGAATGGGTTCCAATCACAGCAGTGACACACTCCATTGTAATCGCTACCTGAAAGGACAGGGTCCTCAATCACTGGCACAACGAGGTCAGTCACCTCATTAATCATTGGTTTGTGTTATTGTTTCCAATAGTGGCTTCTGATTTCTGACAATTTGACAATGTTATTGTTTTTGTTCAGTAAATGATGGGATGAGTTGGAGGAACACATCATCAAATTTTTATCAACCTGAAGGCAAAATGAGTTTGGAGATTCTCCACAAAAAAATGCCAGGTTTCCCTGATGCCAACACACTGAAGATCACTTATATTTTTGCTAAAGGCATACAGACAGTAAGTGTCTAACACCAACCCACATATTTTACAAATATTATGAAACATTACCTTTTTTTTAGTTGTCATTATGTCAATAGAACATAAAATTGCAGTGGTATCCTCAATGAAACATAAATAAATAATAAAGCCCATACATGTCTGTTACTAAAGTCTCAATCAGTCCTTAGGACGCAGCTAATGCGTGCGAGGCTGTCTGCAGGTCGACAGAGGGGTTCGAAGGTGGAAATAGGATTCGCAGCTCTTGGGAAAGGAAAACCTGTTCCATAGTTGTGTGATTGTGGTCTTTATGTACTTTTACCGTTTACCAGACAGCAGAGGTACAGACAGTTTGTGTCCTGGGTGGGATCAGCAGCAATACGACTGGCCTTAGTTTGCCAAGATACAGTGGGTATGAAATGTGGTGAGACGCCTTTAAATTTTTCATTCTTTGTTTCATTGCAGCCATTTGCTAAAATCAAAAAGTTCATATTACTCATGAATGTACACTCTGCATCCCATCTTGACAGAAAAACAAAATGTAGACATTTTTGCAAATCTGTTAAAGAAAAATTTGAATTGTATTGGGCAGGTGCCAAGCAGTGCCTGGTTTTCTCCACACCTACTGCTTAGAATTAACACCAAAAGGTTCAATCTTCGTCTCATCAGGCCAGAGAATCTTATTCATCATAGTCCGACAGTCTTTCATGTGTTTTTTTTTTTTGGGCAAACTCTATGAGGCCTTTCATATGTCTTGCACTGAGGAGAGGCTTCTGTCGGGCCACTCTGCCATAAAGCCCGACTGCTGGAGGGCTGCAGTGATAGTTGACTTTGTGAAACTTTCTCCCATCTCCCAACTGCATCTCTGGAGCTCAGTCACGGTGATCTTTGGGTTCTTCTTTACCTCTCCCACCAAGGTTCTTCTCTCTCGATTGCTCAGTTATGGCCAGGTCTAAGAAGAGCTCTGGTCATCCCAAACTTCTTCCACTTAAGGATCATGGAGGCCACTGTGCTCTTAAGAACCTTGAATGACGCAGATTTTTTTTGCACCCTTTGCCAGATCTGTAACCTTGCCACAATTCTGTCTCTGAGCTCCTTGGGCAGTTCCTTCCACCTTATGATTCTCATTTGCTCTGACCTTCACTGTGAGCTGTGAGGTCTTATGTAGACAGGTGTGTGCCATTCCTAATCAAGTCCAATCAGTTTAATTAAACACAGCTGGACTCCAATGAAGGAGCAGAACCATTTCAAAGAGGATCAGAATAAATGGACAGCATGTGACTTAAACATGAGTGTCACAGTGTGATGGAGACCAGGGCTCCATCACTAATGAATGATTATTGATATTATATTTATTTACAGACTAAATGTGTTTTGTTTCAGTTCTTTATTTCAGTTACATTGTGACATTTAGTTGAGCATTCTTTTTTGGTAGGGAGACTGGCCATCTTTCCTGTTCAAGGAGAATGTGAGGGAAAGTGACAGTTTGTTTCTGATTTAGATTGGTTTAATTTGAGTTTGCTAATTGTTTAAGTACTTACCTTTCTGGGTGTCTCCTCAGCAGAGTGGGGCAGCAGGAAGACAAGTGCTCCAGGTGCTGCTAAACAGCTCCTGGAGCATACCATTTTTAATTAAGTGGGGTAATGCTCCTAATGATTTGCATGCATGTAAATATTTATGGGTACCATTTATTATTTTGGTGTTAGGTTTGTCTAAGTAGTGTTTGTTTCTTGTTTTATTGCATCACCCCTTTACCTGGTATGAGTGGAATTGCCCAAAGTATAAAAGTCAGCTTCTTGTGAAAATGGCTGTTGATTTAAATGTGACTTGCAGCTTCAAATAAAACAATCTCAACTGTATTCTGTTGCTTCACCTCCTTTCCTGAATGCAGAGCCTCCAGCGGTCAAAGTGACACACAGCAAAAGGTCTGAATACTTATGATCATGTGATGTTTAAGTTTTTCTTTTTTTATAAATCTGCCAAAAATCTCTACATTTTTGTTTTTGTCTGTCAAGATGGGATGCAGAGTGTACATTCATGAGAAATAATATAAACTTTTTTTTTTGTTTTAGCAAAAGGGCTGCAATGAAACAAAGAGTGAAAAATTTAAGGGAGTCTGAACTCTTTCTGTGCTCAGTGTATATTAAGTCCAGGTTTGGTAACTGACTCCCACGATCCAGTTTTCACCGCCCTGCCACGTCTTTTTTGTCCTGGACTGTGCAGTTGCCCTACAACACAGTCATACTGAGGCAGAGGATGCTGTCAATAACGGCCCTACAGAAGTTCTTGAGCAGCTGAGCAGAGACTCCCGTCCTCAGACCTTTTCAGTTTCCTGAGGAAGAAGAGTCTGTGTTGTGTCTTCCTCATCAGAAAAGAGGTGTTCAGTGACCAGGTCATGGAATTTGATTTTGTCCACGCACTCCACCACCTCTGCTTGTGGCGTGTGCACCGTCCTCCTGGAACTCCTGAAGTCCACTATGACCTGCTTGGTCTTGCTGGTGTTTAGTACCAGGTTGTTCAGTGAAGACCACCGGGACAGTGGGTCTCCTCTTTACAGGGTTTTATTATTGTTTGTTATCAGACTGACTACAGTTGTAGCTTGGTTCTGCAGACTTTAGAACCCTTTTACAGGAGTGGATGGCTACACAACCATGGATGAACAGTGGAAAAAGAACCTGAAAAAGTTCACAGCCATGTGGTGTGCTGTGTACACCACATGGCTGTGAACATCAACCAGGGTGGATGATCATCCAGAGTGGATGATGTTCAGTCCCCTATTCTCACCACCTGAGAAGGATCCTGATTCAAAGACACATTGATGATGAAAGTCCCAGGTCATGGAGCTTCACTATCAGCTTCTCCATGAAAATGGTATAAATGTTGAGCTGAAGTCAACGAATAGTACCCTAACATGAGTGTGTGTTGGACTTCCTCAAAATTATTTGGGACCTCTCGACCTCAACATCTGCTCCATTTCAGAATTGCCAAATAAGCCAATCCATCACGAGTTGTTGTTCTTATCTATCCAAACAGCATCCTTCCCAAGTCATATTTGGTCCAACTTTGTGCTTTGCACGCAAGGAAAGGGAGCATGTCAGGTCAGTTTGACCCAGAGAGGTACCAAGAATCCTTTTGCAAAAGCAACTCTATAAATAGTATTTCCTCTCTTACATTAGCTTGGTATTATTTCACAGAGAAGACTGAAATTACACTAAATGTGTTGTATCCTGAAAGAATAAAAAGATTAGTGGGATATAGTGTATGTTAGATGCATCTGCAAAGTTGTTCATCAGATGGCGTGACACAAGGAACAAAGTTTTTTCAGCAAGTTGCCTTCTGTTATAAATCAACTCTATGGAAGCACATTACATTCACCAAAGAAAAAAAGGCACCTTATCTTTTAATTAAGAGATCAGAAATTATGAGATAATGAGAATTACAGGATTGCAACATCTTATTTTGGAATTACTCGCAATAAGTGGCTCTGTTGTGTCAGTGACAATTTAAAATGTGCAAAACACTTGATGGGACTGAGCTCTGCTTTAAATAACAAAGCTGTTCCTCAGAGCTGCAGTTTCCAAGATTCCACCCCACAGTGTGACTACCCACGTGATGCACAGAGCTAGTTGAACTATTTTCCTCTCTCCTTTGGCCTCGCCGGTCCTCACACTTTCAGACACGTGATCACACCGTCTTCCCATTACTCACCTGATTGGCTTGTTGTTCAAGGTGGTTACTTTCCTGTTTGTAAAGATGACAGTTTCCCGCCAGACCTGATGGCAGCAACTGCCGCCACCTTTCCACCAGTGATGCTGTCCTTTGCAGGAACTATTAAAATAAAGTTAGAGGCTGTGTAATCCCTCATCTGTTCCCAATTGCATTGTCATTGTGTGGTTGCAACGATTGTGTACTGATAAAAATAGAACAAAAATAAAACTACGTGGAAGTCTCCATGTGGAAACCAGAAGTCTTGGAAGCATGTGACATCACTGAGTTAAAAGTTAATTAAGATGATGATAAGAAGAGAAATAGATGACTGGTTTTGCTTTGTGAGACATAAACTTTCATTCTGTGGGGCAAATTTTTTCTCAAATTTACTTATGAACTTTGTGGAAGGAACAGAGTCACTGTTTTTGTCTGTGAAGAAAGGATTTGAGTTTATTTCGTCATGGACATTATGAAAATGCAAGACTGACAAAAATTATGTGGATGATTTTTTTGTGTGTGTGTAAAGAAAAAAAAAGTCATTCTTTGCATGACACACCTTGAAAGTGCATGGTCTTTGTGTGATCAGTTATAAGAATTGCCAGGGTAAAGAAACTCTGCAAATCCTAGTTGTCAGGAGGGATACACACAGGCGTGCCACCAGGAATCTTTGGCCCCATGACAAAAAATTAGATTGGGCCCCCCCACGTAGCTGCTGTTACAGTTTTTTGATTCTACATGATTCATCAAAAGCGTCGCAGTTTTAAAGACTTGCATCTGCCTTGCTTTCTTTGGTCCAATACTGATAATAGCACAATATTTACTGCTAGTGAATTTTACATGCAACAGTAAAATGCATATTGTATGTATACTTGCAAACAGTATGCAAATAAGTTGCTTAAATTTTATTTATCAGTTTTAGATTACTGAAATGTCTCTCCATGAGCAACAGTTACAGACAACATGCAAAATATACATGAAGCAATCCAGACTTCTCAAACAATGTTATGTAGTTGCATTTTATTCAAGCTGCAGTATATAACTTTAATAAAAAAATTCTCCATATTTGTTAAAGCTGTCACCACGTTGTGACAGTTTGTTATGAGACAGATAATCTGTGAAAAGATCAATCTCCTCCACCTCCTCCCTGAACTACTATTACTATCTAAAGTAATGCACCGTTCTGACCAAAAACAACCAATCAGAACCAAGTGGACGCTATTAGTGCTGTCAATCAACCTCATTCATTCACTGCTAAATATGCCAATAGTGGAGAAACAACTTATCATTACAGTAAAAATGTTTATCTGCTGTCATTGGTAGCTATGCTAACTAGACTGAGCATTCACAACAGGCTCCACTAGCTACAGCATAGCATAGTGAGATACGGAAGGAGGATGAGCAGCACCACGTGAGACTGTGATTAAAAGCACAATATAATTAATTTTGTAATTGACAGGGCCCCATTTATTTTTATTTCTATGAACAGAAAAAGAAAAAAAGAAAAAAATAAATTGCGGAGGGCCCCCTGTTGGTCAGAGGCCCTTATAATTGTCATGACTTTACCCCCTACACTGCGCCCCTGCTGACACCTCTTAAAAAAATAAACCTTGTAAACTGTCACAACAAGCATAACAATCAGATTCTTCAGACTAGCCATCAGCAATTAGCAAACACCTGTTGGAACTTGACATCCACTGAAGTCAAGATAAGCTACTTCTCCATGAAACACTGGTATAAAACATTTTTTAAAGTTTGACAGAGAGGTTTTTATGTGATGATTTCCTGAAGTTGGATTTTTAGAACGTGCAAGAGTTTCAGAGATAAAGGACCAAATTAAAGGTGTTAAATTATAAAGTGAAATTTCTCTTAAGTCATATTTAATATATACAGAATTTTTATAAGAACTGACGTAACTAGTTACTTGATTGTGCTACATGCCTGCAGAATACACTAACTCCTTAATCTAAAAGAGAAGTAGACAGCAGTTCATGCTCACTAGTACCACAAACCCTGCTGAAAGGCTGAGCTTTATGAGGTGAATAGGACCCCGTTATCTGTACAAAGCAAAAAAAAATCAGTTCAACAGACCAAACATGATCCATTTCTTGGCAACACAAAACATTTTGGGCATACTTAATTTTGTTCTTTTACCATCTGTATTGACTGAGAAAATATTTTATTAATAAAACCTTTGATAAGATTAATCTTTTCACAAATGAAAATCTACAATATAAAACATGTGTTTAGTGCAAGTAAGTGATTTTGTTGGAAAACATATCTAAATAATTCAACCATCACTAATAGCTATAAAGGTTTATTGTGGATAATGTGTTTATTTTACCACTAAAACCTTGTTTATTCTAACTCAAGGAGAAACACCCCCACCCTGGCCAGCCATATGCACAGAGACGGGTGTGTACATACCTCCCTGAAAACCATGAGGGGCGGACTGTCGTCACTTTGCTGGAGAAGGCCTTCAATCAGCAGCTTTTGTTTACCATTGCTACCAATGAAAGTGGAGAAGATGTTATCACCCCAGCCTCTGTTCCACTAAAAATACAACATGAAGAAGAAGGAAGCATAATGTAAGTTAACATTATTGAGTTGATATCAGACAATGTTGGGGTCCAATTTCTAGATGATGAAGATCCATATTAACTATGGCACTGCCTCTAGCCAGTGACTTGTGGTCAGGGGAGACAGGTGAGGCAGAGCCTCACCTGTTATCATGGAAAAATAATATATAATAATAAAATCATTTATATTG